GAAAAGATACATAATGGTGTTTGTTTGTCTCAGTCTCACACTTAATGGAACAGTGATCAGATTTGATTGCACCCTGTTCTCTAGCTTCCTTTCCTTGATAGTTTTGAAACCAAATGCATTGTTTAGACTATGCCTGGACTTGGGTAAACAATGGTAAACCCATCAAGCCTTTGTTCATCTATTGTTTGACTCATGGCCAGGAGGCAGAAATTCCCTATAAGAACCCCTGGATTTTAGTAGACCTCGTGCTACCTTCGAAGTGCATGCTGAATCTCTGTCAGTCTGCACTCTGAGATAGTTCCCGTGACCCCCCTCTCTTGCCGGTCGTACCCCTTCCACAGAACTCATCCTCATTCGCTGCCAGAAATCCAGAGGAATCTCTCAGGTGTGAGTATATCCCTCTCTATCCTGTTTTCCCTCTCTGCCTCCTCCATTCTCAGTCTTCCCTGCTTATTCTTCTAGTATGTGTGTGTGTGCCACATTTGAATGTTTGCTTATTTTGTTAATAAATATTTTTAGACTTTAATTGGAGTTTGGTCCGTTTCAGTGTCATTCCTTGCCAGAACTCTTACATCTCTGGTATACAATTTGATAAGGTCTCTGAAGTGAAATTGGGTGCTTCACTCTCACATTTGAGCTAATTATAAATTCCCCAAAATTAGGCTTGTGTTTCCCAGCAGGACATACAGAAGCTGAATGGACTTTCAGTGTACTTGAAACCCACTGAATTCTGGCAATGGGATACTGAAGTACTAAAGTTAATAATAATATCTGCCACAAAATCAGAGGGCAGCATGGCAGAACAGTATCATAACATAACAAAGGTAGCTTGAAGAACACTCTGTGACATTCTAACCAATATTTAACATATACAAACAAATGGGTCCTAGAGCAGATCAAGCCAGAGATATCCCTAGAAGCCAAGATGACAAGACTTAGACTGTCATACTTTGGACACATCATGAGAAGGCATGAATCGCTAGAAAAGACAATAGAAAGGTGGAAGGAAGTAGAAAGGAAGGCCACATGCTAGATGGATGGACTTTATTAAAGAGACCATGAATATGAGTTTTCAGGAGTTGGGCAGAGCAGTAGAGGACCAGGAGGCCTGGAGATGTGTCATCCATAGCATTACCATGGGTTGAGATTGACGTGAAGACAGTTAATAACAATAAAAATAATGTGTGCGGGGTGGTAATATAGAAATATATACATACCATGAGGCTCAACAAACAAAATACAAAGCTGCTTCTGAGCTCCCACTTATTAATAAGTCTTTTGTTCTTATTTGCAATGGCTATGAATCTTTTCAGTTCATGTCTATAAGAAGTCCATTGGCTTCATTTCTGCGATATCAGTTAAACTTCTGTTGGATAACAACTAGAAACAATGCTGTTATCCTTGTTATTTCACAATAG